TCCAAAAACAGTACATGATGCTTTAAGAGATAGGAATTGGGCATGTGCCATGATTGAAGAGATGAATGCTTTAGATAAAAATGAAACTTGGGACATTGTTACACGTCCTAAAGAAAGAAGAATAGTGGGGTGTAAATGGGTCTTCACGGTAAAATTTAAAGTTGATGGAACACTTGAGAGGTATAAGGCAAGGTTAATTGCGAAGGGTTACACACAGACTTATGGGGTTGATTATCAGGAAACTTTTGCTCCAGTGGCAAAGATGAACACTGTCAGAATTTTGTTATCTCTTGTTGCTTACTTTGATTGGGGACTTCAACAATTTGATGTGAAGAATGCATTTCTTCATGGGGAGTTAGAGGAAGAGGTAAACATGGAACCAACACTAGGATTTGAAAGAAACTTTGGCCTTGATAAAGTCTGCAAGCTAAAGAAGGCATTATATGGATTGAAATAGTCGCCAAGAGCTTGGTTTGGAAGATTTACTAAGGCAATGGTGAGATTTGGGTACAAGTAGAGTCAAGGTGACCATACCCTCTTTATTAAACATTCAGCAAAGGGGAAGATTATTGTGTTACTGGTATATGTGGATGACATTATAGTTAATGGAAGTGATGAAGAAGAAAAAAGGAGGCTCAAGGTTCAACTGGCTAGAGAGTTTGAAATCAAAGAACTTGGCAAGCTAAAATATTTTCTAGGAATTGAAATAGCCTACTCCAAACAAGGAATATTTGTGTCTCAAAGGAAGTAAGTGCTAGATCTTCTCAAGGATACAGGCACCCTAGGAAGTAAAGCCTCTAGTACACCAATTGATTCAAATCATAGAATCGGTCGATATGACAAGGGAGGATCAGTCAACAAAGGACAATACCAAAGATTGGTTGGAAGGCTAATTTATCTCTCACACACTCGACCTGATATAGCCTATGCTGTAAGTGTTGTTAGTCAATTTATGCATGACCCAAAGGAAGAACATTTACATGCAGTTTAATGAATTCTTCAGTACTTAAAAGCATATCCTTGAAAAGGCATTTTGTTCTAGAAAGGGAAAGAACTAGTAGTGGAGGGATATATAGATGCTGATTATGTTGGGTCTCTAACAGATAGAAGGTCTACCACAGGCTACTGCACATTTGTAGCAGGGAATCTAGTTACTTGGAGAAGCAAGAAGTAAAATGTTGTTGCCAGATCGAGTGCAGAAGCAGAATTTCGAGCCATGGCACAGGGAATATGTGAACTTTTATGGCTTAAAATTATCCTAGATGATTTGAGGATTAGGAGAAGTGGGCCAATAAGATTATATTGTGACAACAAGTTTGTTATCAATATCGCTCACAACCCAGTCCAACATGATAGGACTAAACACATCAAGATTGATAGGCACTTCATCAAAGAGAAGTTGGATAGTGGACTAATCACTACACCCTATGTGTCATCTAGAAATCCGTTGGCAGATATTCTGACCAAAGGACTTCCTGCTTCAAGATTTCAAGAGATTACAAGCAAGCTGGGAATGAAAAATACCCATTCACCAGCTTGAGGGGGAGTGTTAGAATCCCTCAAACTTCTCCTTGTTAGAATCCCTAAAATTCCTCCTCTAATTGATATGTAAATAGCTGTATCTTAGGAGATTATTTTTCTTTATTACTCCTAATTTTATTTCCATTGTAATTAGAAAAACTATCCATATTTAGAATAGGTCAGCCCCTGTATACTATACTATTTTTCATCGTCAAATGAAGAAATATTTTACCCTAAATTCTTCACATCCCACTGAAATTAAAGGAATTTATAAAGGTACATCAACAAAAGTATTCATGAAGAATATTTACAAGATTTATTATGAAATTAACATGAGCTAGTTTTAGAGACTCAAAACAGAGCATTGTTAATCAACTGAAAATCAAAACATCTAAACTCCAGGATCTCAGGATCTCTTAACCTGACAAAGTACGAGAATAGAAGATAGAAAGAACTGCATAACTAGACACCATTGAATGCCCGACGCAAGGATTCCCAGTGCTCCTTATGCTGCTTAATCCTCTCTAGTCTTTCTGTCTCACGCCTCTGTTCCCAGTACTCTCGACATCTGTTAACAAAAAATATATATGCATTATGCATGCAAGAAATTTTTTGTGGGATTAGAAGCAGAGCGTTAATCATTTGCCCCTCTTATATTTAAACACTAAAAAGGATACTAAAGTTCAGAAAGAAAGCATCAAACTTTTGATTTCCTAAACAGCAATCAAAGACACCATAGATGGAAACATACCTTCTGCTTAATAAAATGTTAAGCTCTTCCAAATGTACAGCACCTTCATGCACTCCTGTCTGAACTCAAAACCAAATCAAGTTATGAAATGAAGATAAACTACTCCCAAAAGATATGTCGTTTTACATTATTGCATTGATTCTCAGTCGATAACTGAATATTGTGAATATTCCAATAATCAACATGCCACCCTTCAACTTCAACGGACTTGGAAAGCCAACAAAGCGCAGAGTAGTTTATGTTTACATGGATATAGTTTAGCTGGGATTGAGACAGAGTAAACTTATTGAGAATTTGACCTCAGCAGATCAGATGCATCCAAAATTATCAATCTCACTGTCTCTATTAGAAATAATGAAGTATTTTACCCAGAAAAATAAATAAATAAATAAAACTACAGGAAAATCATGGAATTGTTAATAATGATAGAATTATAGATATAGACACTCACCTCTCGGCATAGAGCACACTTTTCTTTAGGCTCAACTGCTTTTAGTCCATCTACAATATCCACTGATGCAGCTGAGCAAGCACACATGTAGCAGAATATATGGCCACATGTCAGTGAAACCGGATCAAACACTGTATCCTGTTACACAGAGGAATAAATCAAATCATGCATTAAATTATGCGAGTCTTATGAAGGAGTACAATAAGAACGATCACTAATGTTCTGGTTCATTGGTCAAGGACAATAGGACAATGTGAAATGCACAAGAAAAATACTCATATCTTTATCGTGAAAATGCTTTATGAATTTAAGATATAGGAGATTTGAGATTTAAAATTTGACAAGTTTCAAACGTAGATTTTGCGTGAAGACAGAAAACTTCATTTCTAAAGATGTGCTTAATAGTTTCAGAGCAATTTGTGTTCAAGCATGCATGGATAATAAATGAGAGAAGATTAACAATTGTTCTTATGTTAGAGGTGATTTATATTTCCAGACTCCAGCATGAACTTAGTTCTGCTGAAAAAAGGACAGAAGCATCCCTACAGAAGACATGGCGAAAGATTAATTGCAGCATTCAAGCAGAGTATATGCCACAAAACAGTAGTATAATTAAATCATTTCCTTATTTCTCTAATCTGTTTCAGAAAAAAATGACAGATATTTTATTTATTTGATGGCAAATTGTTTATGATTACTAGGTGCAAGAGAGGTGAATATTCAAATATTAAATAATCTCTAGGAACTTACCAAGCATATAGAACAAGTGAGGTCAATGTCAGCCTTGACAGAATCAAAGAGCTCACAACAGAGTGAAGGCTTGCCATCGTTGAATTGAAGGTAACAACCCTCAAACAAAGAGGGAGCAATCCTTGATCTGGTTTTCGCTTCACTTTCCCTCAAATTGATATGGAAAGCCATAAGTTCACAGAGCCATGGTGACTGAAGAATTTCAATGTGCATACTCTGAACTTGCGACTTGAAGGCCTGCCCTTGCTTGGAGTAATGAACCTGTGTTTCATACAAAAGTAATGATATTAGAACAAAAAGAACCATAATTGCACCAAACTGCATTTCCAAGAACCTTCATTCTATGGCATAAAGGACAAATACCTTGTCATATTTCTTCAGTATTTTACGAAGTGCAATAGCATTGATTAATGCATAGGTGACCAAGTCCTCCCCTTCTTCAACCAAAGCAACATGGTTTCTTTTCAGATTGGATCTAAACCAAAAAAAATACCTCTTAAGGCCAGGTGCAAGATGTAGATCAAGCAATTTCTGCGCACGCTCATTGAAACAGCCTACCACAGCTGACATTTCCTCAAGCAAGGAAGGGAAGAAGGTACCATCGCACACTAGAAAATCAATTTGAATCAGGATGAGAACAAGTTTACATAAAGAAAATATAACTAGATTAAAAATTAAAATATTTCAGCTGTCCTTCAGAAAATGGATGCAAGAAAATTTCATTCAGGTTCTGAAAATCAAGTTAACAAACACGCAATGAGAGACTAGACCATGGATAGAGAGAATAAAACAATGGCCATTAAGGTCTAGCTAATAAAATATTAGATTTTTCATTTCACGTAGAAAAAACTGGTCTTCCATAGATATTGAACCCCTGAAACAGGAAATCTGGAATTCAGCTTCCACTGGTCAAAAAAGGCATCATCATCCAAATTAAGCCACCAATTCAGAACCCCCAAAAATGCCAAAAAACAGAAAACAGGAAACATGGGTCTTCTGAATGACTAAATTACAAAGAGAAATTTATCATTCATGATTCATCCACCATTTTTTTCAACATGATGAACTGAAAATGAAGAAGATGGCAAAACCCCAATAAAATTATAAGAGATATATCAATCATCAAATTTCAAATATTTTTTCATCACAGCATGACTCATTTATTAAAATTCCTATCAAATGTCAATGCCTGGGCATTGCCGGGGGTAATTTTGGATGTTGAGAATCCCATTAACATCAGGCCGGCCGCGTTGACAATCTCCTTTGCACTTCTTCAAAATCTTCTTAAGCGTCTTGATACCAAGCGTAGGCAGCTTCTTCTCCTGACCCTTCATGTACTCCTGGTATTTCTTGCAGAACTTCATCTCTAAGATAATAGCACTCAGCCAATACCTTCTTTGGAACAACACAGAGGCTACTTGCAAATTAGATGCTGATAAATACTGAACAAAACCCAGAACAGTACACGAAAGGATTGGTAGTTATCTGGAAGTCTCTCGGCAGCTTCCGGTGAAATTTTTATTGACTTTTTTAATTCCGCATTTCAGCCTATAGATTTGGAGATGACATGTCAGCAGGTACCGGAGAAGGTGACGCCGCCACAGCAAAAGAAAGAAATAGTCTATTCTTTCTTTTAATATTATAGTTACAATTTCAACATGATGAACTGAAAATGAAGAAGATGGCAAAACCCCAATAAAATTATAAGAGATTTATCAATCATCAAATTTCAAATATTTTTTTCATCACAGCATGACCCATTTATTAAAATTCCTATCAAATGTCAACGCCTGGGCATTGCTGTGGGCAATTTTGGATGTTGAGAATCCCATTAACATCAGGCCGGCCGCGTTGACAATCTCCTTTGCACTTCTTCAAAATCTTCTTAAGCTTCTTGATACCAAGTGTAGGTAGCTTCTTCTCCTGACCCTTCATGTACGCCTGGTATTTCTTGCAGAACTTCATCTCTAAGATAATAGTACTCACCCAATTCCTTCTTTGGAACAACACAGAGGCTACTTGCAAAATTAGATGCTAATAAATACTGGAAAAAAAACCCAGAACAGTACATGAATGGATTAGTGATTATCTGATAATCTTTCGGCGGCTTCGGGTGAAATTTCTGTATAGTTTTTTAATTCCGCATTTCAGCCTATAGATTTGGAGATGACATGTCAGCGGTACCGGAGAAGGTGACACGGTAACAGCAAAAGAAGGAAATCTGGGGATTTTCCATGTCAGCTTGATTTTTGATCACTTGATGATATGACTGTCTGTCCATAGGCACTAGATTTTTCACATTCAGCTTGATTTAGTTTGTTTGCCTTTTTTCCTTTTTTTGTTATGGATACTTAATTATGTCATGCGTAGGTAGGGTTTGCAGTTTAAAAACTATGAGACACAAAGCCTGAAGTGTCTGGTTAAGATCATAGCTGGTGCCAATTAAAAGGCTCTTACATGCAAATTAACAAGGATACTGCCTCATGCTATTTACCCAGCATTTTACTGTTCAACAGGCATTCTGAGATTTTTTTGTCTGGACTTGTTTTGCATAATGCAGCCAATGTCGGTTTATCTCTCTCCTACGGACTATCCCTCAATGGTGTATTGTTTTGGACCATATACATGAGCTGTTTTGTGGAAAATAAGACCGTTTCCGTGGAAAGGGTAAAGCAGTTTTCAAATATCCAGCCAGAAGCTACATGGCACTGATGTCTCGCCCCAAAATTAAACTCTTCGTCGGTTGTTGTAGCTTAGTTTTAAGTATTGAATCTACAAAAAAAATTATATTAAACCAACAAAAAATTTATCACAATGAGGAATTAAATTAAAAATAATTTTTAAAATTAAGAATAAAAATATTTAAATAAAAAATAATAATTATAGAGGATTGAAAATAATATTATGATAAACAAAATTTCAGGATTCACTTAATTAATTTGTTCAACTGTTATAAATTTTAATTCATATTTATTACTTAATTGCATATTTCATATCCCAAACAAACAATTAGAAGATTTAAGTATAAAAACTAATAATAATAATTAGTGTATTCATTTTGAGAGAAATTAATTTTAATAAAAAATAAACTAATCTATTTTTATGAGCTATTCGAGAGTGACAATATATCTAATCGAAAATATTACAGTAAATGATCAACCTACAAAATAAATCAATTAATCAATTATATTCTAACAAATTACACATAAATAAAAACATAACTAATCTTATATGAAATTAGATGAATATAATTTTTAAGATTTTCAAATATGAAAATAATTAATAATCTCTTCAAAATAAAATTACACAATAAGATTTTTGAAGGAGTCAAAATAAAATAACAAGTCAAACTCCTCAATCAAAATACTCCATAATATTATTAATTTTGTTGAAAGTTTAGTTATGTTTTGACATAATTTTCTAGCACCGAAAAAGAAAAAATAAAAGCCTAAGAATTGCTTCTCTAGATACTAAACTTAATTTTAAAGACACCTATTTATATTGAGAATAAAATAAGAATGTATAGTAATTAGGATAGCAGTCTAGGAAAATTAATTTTGTTTTTCTTTCTTCTCGCATATTGGACAGGGAGTTGGAATTTGCTTCAGGCTGCGGAACCCTTAATGTTACTGTTTCTGTGCGAATTCATCAGGGGTTGGAAGTTGGAACCTTGTGTTCTTTTGCACGGGTCACGGGCATTTCACGAATTTGCTCTTGATAAAAAAAATGGAGAAATCCAACTTGGGCCTTCAAACTTCCAAATTTACTCTTTGGATCCTTATCTTTCCAACTCCTTGCATTAAACTCTTTTTCTTCTAATTCTCTCCATTTAACATCAAACCTTCAATCACCACAAAATTTGCACAACATGCATAAAATGAACAATTATGAAATTACTTGTAGAAAAATACAACTCTTAAGCCTATAATTCCACAAATGTCAATAGTTAAGTACACTTTAAATGTACATTTTTATGCTTTTATCAGGCACATTAAAGATCGTCTTCCTCTTCCTCTTCCTCCAAGTTGGCCAGCTCATGCAATGTTGAGATCAAAGACCTGCAGGTAATTGGCTTTAGACTATTCTGGATACAACTTTAAGTAACTTTCATAGTTGTCTCCAAAGGTGCAATCCACAAACAATCATAGTAGGCCCTCAATAACTAAGGTTAGTGTTAAGTAAATGAAGACAGATGAGTAGGTCAGTTACCACAAGATATTTTGCAGCAAGAGCTAAATGATTGGACTATACCACTTAGTTGTAACTCTTAGACCTCAGATTGATTGCAGCTACCCTCAAGCATGTTGCTAATGAACAGTATTGATTTATATCACCTTAGTTCAACTAGGGTTGATGTCTTGAATTTTGGGATAGAAGTTAGATATAGACCAAACACTCCTCTAGTACTCAAAGGCATAACTCTAAGCATTAATGGGGATGAGAAGGTTGGCATTGTTGGCCGGACAAGGAGTGGGAAGTCAAGTTTAATCCAAGTTTTCTTCAAGCTTATGGAACCAACAAGAGGAAAAATTATTGATGACATAGATATCTGCATGCTAGGGCTTCATGATCTTAGGTCACGCTTTGGGATTATTCCTCTAGAATTGTTAAGGAAAGTGCTACATAATACAATCTTGTCATTAAATTGAAGATTTGATTCTTTAGATTATCATTGATTTCCTGTAATTAAAGTTTATATTATTCCTTTCCTTATATTTCTTATTTCCTTAGCAGAATGTCTTGTATATATTTAAATTCAATTGTGAATAAGAGAAGCAATTCAATCTATCTTTTCCTTGTTTTATCAATGGTAACTTTAATTCTCCACTGGTGGCATTAGACGTTGAACATGTCTTTGCCATCCTTCTTCTAGAATTTTATTTTACAAAATATTATTCGTACTTTTCATTTACCAATTTTCACAAAAATGAACCTAAGTCTTGTGAGTCATGTTTGTGCTCTAAAAGTCACCAACAACCTGTTGGTCTATCAACTATTCAAAGTCATGCTCCTCTAGATGTGTTTTTCTCAAATGTTTGGGGTCCTATCCTAATTTCTTCACTTAATGGTAATGATTATTTCATACCTTTTATTGATCATTTTACGCGTTATACATAGATCAATCGATTAAAAAGAAAATCTGATGTTTCCATAATATTCCCTAAGTTCAAGGCTCTTGTGGAAAAACAATTTGGTACTAATATCAAATCACTTTATTTCAATGGGGATGGTTTATTCTTTGTTACTATCTTGTTGATCATGGTATTTTTTATTTTACAACTCCACCTAACACACTTGAACTTAATGGCATTAGTGCACAACGCAATTGACAAATTGTTGAACTTACACTCACACTTATGCACCAAGCTAATCTACCAACTTGTTTTTGGACCTATTTTTGGTCTTATGTAGTCACTACTATTGTCTATCTTATCAATCATTTACCCTCTTCAGCCATATCCTTTAAATCTCCATTTGAAAAATTGTTCCACATCAAACCTAATTATTTCAAATTGAGAGTTTTCGGGTGTGCATGTTATCCTTGGCTAAGGCCTTGCAAGAATAACAAACTCCAATCACAATCACGTCTTTATTTATTCTTAGGTTATTCCATAGAAAATCTTGATTATAAATGTTTTGATCTTGAATCCCAAAAATTTTTTACTCACATCATGTTATTTTCAATAAAAATTTCTTTTCTTTTAAAATAAATTCTATGTGCACTTCCAATCAAATTAATATGAAAACTTGGTTAATGCCAAGACCAATGCAAACTAATAGTGAGATACGTTCATCATCTAATTCACCGTCTTGCCCTGAGGAGCATATCTTGTCTCCCTGCAGCAATGTCACCTCAAGAAATTCCCATCCTTCATTCCAATTCACTAGCCCAAACTCCACCACCAACTCAAGCCCATCCACACCACAACCCACCCACACATCAAGTCCATCCCATAGCCCAATAATGTTCGACCCCATCCTCACCTCCATCCAAATCCACAATCCAAGTCCTCCCTGCTCCAGTTGTTCTCCATCTTCATCCTCTTCCGACAACTCACTGGCTTCGACTGCTGCTAAAATTCCAGCATTCGCCACCTTGCCAAGTCCACTCAAGCACATTCCTCTTGTCTATACTCACCCAATGGTAACACGATCTCAAAACTTAATCTTTAAACCCAAACAATTATTCCTTGCCACCATAGGCTTTAGTCAAAATCTAGTAAAACCTTTGTGTGTCTCTCAGGCTTTGAAAGATCCAAATTAGAGGCAGGCTATGTTTGATGAATTCACTACACTTGTCTGTTAAGGCACTTGGGATTTGGTTGCTTAGTCTCCTGATCAGAATGTTATTGGATCTAAATGGCTTTTTTGATTGAAGTGCAAGGCTGATGGGAGTATAGGGCGTTACAAGGCGCGTCTTGTGGCAAAAGGTTTCCATCAACAACCTAGCAGTGATTATTCAAACACCTTCAACCCAGTGATTAAACCAACAACTATCAAAACAATGCTCACAAGAATTGGCCCCTTGGACTATTAGATATTAATAATGCCTTTTTAAATGGTACTCTTGATGAGAAAATATTTATGCAACAACGCACCGATTTTGCTAATGGGAATTTGTCAGTTGCACAAATCATTATATCGGCTAAAACATGCCCTTCCTGCCTGGTTTCAAGAATTGAAGAATTTTCTAATTACTCAAGGATTTTGTTGTTCCAAGTCAGATCCCTCTCGATTTATTTTGAGGAAATCTGAGGTTGTGGTTTATTGCCTTGTTTGCATTGATGAGATCACAAGGAATTCTACTCAGGTTGTTAATCAATTAGTATTTTCACCACGGTTGTCAAAATTGTGATTTAAATTGTAAAATCATATGACTTAACAATTTTAGATATATAATTTGTATAAAATCAAAACTAAAATCAGAACAGTAAAATCATAAACTTGTAAAATCAAAATAGTAAAATTGTAAAATCGGAAAAAAAAATCATGCAAAATCAAGATTTCACAAATTTAAAAGGTTTTATGGATTTTTGTGTTATAATGTGATTAATAATCACCACCACTGCATCGATGGTATTGTACTTGTAAACTATTTATGAATTGTTTGGTGGTGGTTCGAATCTTGATCAAGTAATTTGACATTTTGGAGTTTCCAAGCATAAACTTTAAAGTTTTGTCAATTTTTTTTATAAATTAAACTAACAATATTCTATTATAAAAATTTTTTTGAGGTCAAAACTATTAAAATTTAAAATAATTTAATAACTATAAAATAGAAAAATGTCCAAACAAGATTTAAAATAATTAATTAGTAATAAAACTTCTTAGATAAATATTAA